AATTTCTGTTTCAGGAGATCAAAGCTGTGGGAGCTGAGCTTGGAATAACTCCAGTGATCATTCGTGGAGAAGAGCTGAAACACAGAGGATTTGGAGGTACATTGTCTGTGATCATCTTATAACAGGACATCTGACCTGTTGGAAAAACTGATTTACTGTATCTGGCCTTTTTATCTCAATGTTTTTTGTTGTAAATATACATTTAGATGTCTCCGTTTTCTTTCTCTCTACCTTGTAGGTATCTATGGAGTGGGAAAGGCAGCAGAGCATCCTCCTGCACTGGCGGTCCTGAGCCACACTCCAGTAGGTGCGACCCAAACCATTGCATGGGTGGGCAAGGGTATCGTGTACGACACCGGAGGACTCAGCATCAAGGGAAAGGTAATCCTGTTTTTCCTCTGGAGAAGTGATACAAACCTCAGACACTGTGAAACGCCAACGTGTTCAGCTTTTATTCTTGTATCAGTGATCTGTTTGCACATAGTTGCTCTGGCATACACCAGTTTATGTAGTGCCTTATGCAAATAGAACACTTGAGCTTACTTAATTTGCAGGGATATGGTTTTCTGATAAGTTTTTCTGACTCTGCTGGGTCCTTTTCTGGTCAATAAATGCTAGAAGTGCAGCCTTTTCAAATCCAAAATTAAATTCCCTTTTCCTCATAAATAAATGTTTTTCTTGTAGACCTCAATGCCAGGAATGAAGAGAGACTGTGGTGGAGCGGCTGCCATTTTGGGAGCTTACAGAGCTACTATCAAACAGGTGAGCTTTCGGATCATGTGTCCCAGCTGTTCTGTCACTCTGCAGCTCTTGAGTTGTTTTAATCAGAATATTGTCTCTTTGCTCCAGGGCTTTAAAGACAACCTCCATGCAGTGTTTTGCCTCGCAGAGAATGCAGTTGGACCTACTGCCACACGGCCTGATGATATCCATACTCTCTACTCTGGAAAGTGAGACTCTCTTTAATAGTAATGTATCAAATGACATGATTTGATTTGAAAGTGCTGTCACGGTGTGACTGCACCAGAGCTGAACGGATTAGTCTTGTGACTCATCAGTCTTTTACACCATGATGGATATTATTTTACAAGCTATAACAAATCAACAGGAATAAATATGGGCTCTGGTATTTAAGGAAAGTGTATTTTTGTGTGTTTTTATTTTAAAGGACAGTGGAGATCAATAACACTGATGCAGAGGGCAGGCTGGTGCTGGCTGATGGAGTGGTGTATGCCAGAAAAGACCTCTCTGCTGATATTATTCTGGACATGGCCACACTGACTGGGGCACAGGTGGGTGATACCTTACATGGCAAGTATGAACAGGCGATTCAACCCCTATAACAGGAGAATAGATATCAAACATGTTAACCAACACAGCTCCTGAAAAGACGAAAACCATCAAATCAACTTGACCTTCTAATAAGCTTTGTTGTTTGTTTGTTTTTACCTGCAGGGGATCTCCACAGGGAAGTACCATGCTGCGGTGATGACTAACAGTGAGAAGTGGGAGGTTGCATGCGTGCGCGCCGGCCGCAGCAGCGGAGATTTGGCCCACCCTCTGGTCTACTGCCCCGAGCTGCACTTCAGCGAGTTCACCTCTGCCATGGCTGACATGAAAAACTCTGTGGCAGTAAGTGACAACATACTTGCTCCAAGGTTTTTGAAGCTCACCTCCTTATCTTTTGCCAAGTTTTGTTTACCCTCTCTACCGGCTTTCGCTGCTTGTTTAGTACAAATAAAGCCTACAACAATGTTTTTCTGTGGCCATATCAGAGCCATTCTGGAATATTTAGTGGTGGAAACTCTACTTTAAGGGCAACAAAAAAACCTTCAAACCTAAATTCATCATGCAGATCTTTGGAAATGTTCCATTAGAATGGTTCAGTGTAGATTATTATAGCAGGAAAAATTGCTATTTTTGAATTATTCCATATTTAGCAGCTGAAAACAATATTGTCCGCAATTATGGTATGAAAACTTAATGTATGGTTTAATCGATTATCAAAATGGTTCCCTAACTATAGGTAGACTAATTGTTGTGTCTAGTTGCATATATTCATTTGATGTAATCATGTATTGATGATCTTCCTTTTCTTGTTTTGTCAGGACCGGGAGAACGCCCAGAGCTCTTGTGCCGGACTCTTCATCGGCTCCCACCTGGGCTTTGATTGGCCAGGTGTCTGGGTCCATGTGGACATCGCCTCCCCCGTCCATGCTGTGAGTAACCATGCTTTGGTGTGCTGGGCTGACACTGGGCCATTAGTTAGGGATTTATTTATTTTGTACCTTGTTTGCATGCTTGTTCTCTGCTGCCTTCAACTGGCCTGACAAGATATTTCTTAAGCTGAATCATGCACCGCAGCAGAACAGGAGTGACAAACCGATTTACATGTTGCTCTGTAACTTTGGAGTCTGTAAATATTGTTCAAACGTTGTCTGACTTGAGCTGCTGGTATTCTGTGGCAGATTTTGATGTGCACATAGACCTACAGGGTCACGTTTACCCAACTCCTGATATAAAACCTCTAGCCAATGTGCGAGGTCCTTAACAAAAGTCGGTGTAGTCTACTATAATATTACTTTTTCATGGCCTTTCTAAACGCTTCTGGGACATTTGTGACACACTATACTGACTTTATCTGGGATATCACTTTTTATGACCCGAGTGTAACCAAAGCAAAACATAATGCATGTAATGTAATGGATTCTTCTTTGGACTGTGCCAGTTGTTTTACTAGCATGGGCCAAGATGTTTTACCTGTAATCCTGCTGACAGACAAACCTCCTTGAAGGTTGTAATAGTTATAAAAAATGATCCAACGCTGTCCTGGTCTTGTGATTTAGCTTGTAAAACAATAAGACTCATAATCACATGTACTGTAGTTAAGCCTGCAGTAGATGTTCTTATCAGCAGTTCATTGTTTTTGTTGAATGTAACAAGGTCAGATGTCTCAGTCACATTAACCCATTAAGAAGATAACTTCAGGGTAAGTTACAGTAAAGACGCTGAAACCTGAACCCTGATTTGTCTGTCTGTTGTCTCTGCAGGGGGAGCGTGCAACAGGATTTGGCGTTGCTTTACTGATGGCCCTGTTTGGTCAGGCTTCAGATGACTCCATGCTGAACCAAGTGTCTCCTCTGGGTGCAGCCACCAACACGTCTGAAGACAAGATGGAGCGTGACTGCAAGAGGCGAAGACTGGTGTAGAACAAACAGCGGCCAACTCCACCAACCCTGATCATGACACACTATATAACATACCATACAGTTAGAGTTAAATCATTTAAAAACTGATTCAACTTCCTTTGTTTGACAATTCACTGACAATTTTGGTAAACCATCAGTAAATTGGGTGTGTATTAATACATGATAAAAAGCAGGCCCTTACTGGTATTTGTCCTCATTACTTAGCACTTGCTGCACTGATCAGCTCTATAGCTTCTTGATTTTTCAATTGCTCTTGATAAAATTGCATTGATTATAAAATCTTCATGAAAGAATAAATAAATCTTAATTGTTTTTCAGCAGAGTATTTTGTAAATGTCCATCTTTTACTGTAAAGTTTTACCTTGTAAAACATACACCTTGTTTTTGCTATCCACTTCATCAGTAGGCATTGGTGTTATTGATACTTTAATACAATCAAGAATTAAAGGTTTACATGTTCTTGTGAAAAATTGCTTTGTTTCTCTTTTTTGGTAACCGCTGAAATTCATATTCACCCTGCTGATAATTGTGTAATGTCTGGACCAATTTGAGGAGTGAGTGTTTACTGTGTCGGATGAGTTATTCACACGTGCTTTGTCAGCACAAAATGCAAAAACAAGAAGTTAACTTTAAGTAAGTATTCAACAAACTCAAGCAAAAGTAGGTTTTTCCACCCATGTGACAATCATGTTTTCCTTCAATAAAGGCTGACCTCTGCTTGTGAAGTAAAACTCACCTAAATGCTGACAAATATATTGCGCATACAAGCTTTTAGGAAAACTTATTTTGCTAAGAGATTACATTTAAAGCACTCCTCACCTCAAGTTTATTCTTCAAAATAACTTGTCAGTTTCCTCTCAGTTTTGCTGAAATCCTATTTTTATTAGACCATCTGTCAATGTCAATTTTGTTAGTAATTTGTTTTTAAATATATTGAATCCAAAACAACAATTGGCATCAACTTTATGTGCAAGTCTTAGTTCTGAGAGTTTTCTGCTGGTATTTTTGTGATGACTGTGGTTTGAAGACCTCAACATTTTACAGTTGGGGATACAAATCTTTATAATGGTGAATTTCAAAGAACAGGTGTGAACAAAGTAAGGGCATAAAAGTGGTTGACTCAAACTGCTGACATAAAGTTTGCAATAAACTGAATGTCTACTATATTTTACATAACATTAGAAGTATATTTTTGCCTTGTAAGAAAAAGGGTTTTGCCTTTCAGCAATTTCTTTGTCTTGATTTAAATAGTTTCCATAGCATGTGACCAAATGACTCCATATAACAATGCGGAATCGTTGACAACTACACTGGACAAATAGGACACACACCTTTTATGTGTGTTTTATTACTTTTATACTTTATATGAAAATGTATAAAAAAATCCGCAATTTTTTTATTGAAATATATTAAATTGTTTCAATGTCACGTGACCCAGTGAATCGAACTGGAGCAAAAATAAGGATATACCAAATAAATGCAGCAAGTAGGATGCAACTCTTATTGGATTTAATTGATTTAATATTTTTTTATGAAAGGCAATTCTGCATTTTTTTATTGAAACAACTATTTGTGGTTAAATTACTTCCATGTCATGTGACCAAGCGACTCACACTCTTCAACAACATATAATTCTGCCCTAATTTTCTAGTGCTTATTGTTTATGTACAATTGTTTTGTAGCAGTATCTTTATATTAATTCCCTGTCTTGTAATATACAAGATCCTTCTGCAACAAAAAAAACCAACTTCCTCTTAAAGCATGTGGGATGTGATTTACTGGTCACATGACTGCAGTTTCGGTAGCGGTTTATCACATGAATTATCAGCACATAGTTCCTCCACAGACTCATTCACCGGCTTCGGTCTCTACTAGCGACATCTGAAAGCCTTCTCTCCCCGGTAACAGAAGCTTAACGACCGCCGGCCGCTACTCGGTGTAAATATGGCTCTGACCGGTTTAGTCCTCCTGTTTTCGGTCGTTCTGTCCTGTGTGAGCGCCGGAGTGTTTTTCAACCAGAAGCAGCCGTGTTATGTCCGCTCCCCGAGGAAACACGACTTCGGGCTGAAGTGAGTTCAAACTAAGACATGTTTATAACAAGTTAGTTAGGGGTTATGGAGGAGTGTTACACGGTAATGTATGTAGCTGGCTAGCTAACGTTTGCTAGAAATAGCTGTTAGTTGCTTCATAAAGATAAGGGAACTTCATGTCAACAAGCCCCTGCAGAGGGACTCTTTATCTAACGTTATGTCATGCAAATACTTGGGTGTAGGGAAATAAACAAAAGTAGCTGGAGAGTTATTTCGATTCAAATGGGTAGTTTTTGTTTACTATCATTCTTGTTTTTCTCTAAGTATCATTACTTGCAAGTACAATTAAACGAAATTAAAAAATGATTGTAAGTGACTTTCATTTTCGGCAAATCACGAGTTATACTGAATCACAGGTTGAGGAAGTTAGCATGCTCCCTTCCCTGCAGTTCAACCAAAGCAGTATCATTCTCAATCTTAAGGAGGAAATGCAAGGTGAAATGGCACAAATATACGGAAGAGGATTAGGATCACATGAGAAAAATGATTTGGGATATGACCAAAAGTAAAACAAAATGATTTCTGTATTCAAGCTCAGAATTCTGACTGTTTTCAGAACTGACATTTTTTTAAACAACTTTTGGTCACATCCTAAAAATAAATCATGTGGTCCTAGTCCTCTTCCGTACAAATCAGTTCCATTATTCCAGACATCATGTTATGTCAATATGCTCCAGGAAATAGCCAAAGTAAAAATAAAAATAAATCCCAAAATTGCAGATTTAAAATGACATCACCTTGGACATTAGACAACTGTTTTGGAATTGTATTTTTGAATATCATCCACCAACCAATTAATTGTGATAATAATAATAATCTGTAGATTAGTACAAATATTAATCTTATTTGCAGTCCTAAATGTGTGTTGCTGCTACAGATCTAATGTATCTAACCACTTTTCTATTCACAGGACTGCTCCTCGTCCTCATGAGTATTTAAACATTTCTGAACTGCCAAAATCCTGGGACTGGAGGAACATCAGTGGCACCAACTTTGTGAGCACGACCCGCAACCAGCACATCCCCCAGTACTGCGGCTCCTGCTGGGCCCATGGCAGCACAAGCGCCATGGCAGGTATGAATCAAATAGCTTTTCAGATCAGGGGCTCAATTATTTTGGGTTGTAGCAGGTGTAAAATAGCAGCTCCTCACATGACTCTTCAGACACATTTGAATATAGCATCGGAGTGCCACTTCCTCTTTGCACAGAAATGATTAACAGAAACTGCTCTGGTTTTCAGTAATTCTCATTTCTCTGTGTTTGCTGTGTCACCAGATCGTATTAACATCAAGAGGAAAGGAGTGTGGCCCTCTGCTTATCTCTCAGTCCAGAATGTGGTGGACTGTGGGGACGCCGGCAGCTGCCACGGAGGAGACCACAGTGGAGTGTGGGAGTACGCGAACAAACATGGCATCCCAGATGAGACCTGCAACAACTACCAAGCTAAGGACCAGAGTAAATAACTTTATATTTTAATAGATTAGACACACTGTTTCTCTTAAAATTTAGGTATTCAAAGTCAATATGAATATTACCAAATCATTATGTCTAAAAGCAGCCTATTACATTAGTAATTCCATATTAAGACACTTTCTGGGCCAATGAGGGTGATTCTGAATTGTCTTTTGGTGCACAGAGTAATGTTGACAACACTAACCTCCAAAGTCTGAGCTGTAACATGTTCTGTGTTTCTTTCTATAGCGTGCAAACCCTTCAATGAGTGTGGCACCTGCACCACCTTTGGAGTGTGCAACATTGTGAAGAACTACACCCTGTGGAAAGTGGACGATTTTGGAGCTATCAGCGGGAGGGAGAAGATGATGGCCGAGATCTACGCCAGAGGACCCGTTAGGTTTGAAACGTTTTATTTTGTGTTACGCCCAGAATGTACAAGGAAAAAAAAAAATAGATAGCAATGCTTACCCGACACGACGAAAAGAACGGAAGGACCGGACGGACGAGCCCCCAATTATGTTGCGCCCAGGCAGGCCTAGGGGAACCTAGGCGCAGCACAAAGTTGCACTCTCCGCACTTTTCCCACTCCCAAGAACATGGACACCAAGGCAGAGAAAGCGTTCGGTAATTTAATTACCAAATCAGAATCCAAAAATACTTTCACAAAAACATGCTGAAAGTCTTTTTACAAATATAACAAACAGGAGTAACAAAACCACAAAACGAATTAACCTTTAAGGCTTTAACACAAATATCTTACCTAACAAATGAGAAGAATAAACGTACAGGCTTCTTACCTACTTTAACGTAAAACAGGAGAAAACGAATAATCCAAAAGAAAAAGGGTTTTGCACTCCTGAGAAAATAAATCGTGTCTACAAAGACGGGTTTAGCAGCTTTTCTTCCTACAGCCTCACAGCAGAAGAGAAGGACCGGTATACGGTAAAATGTAGGTACACAGCACAACAGGACAGAGATCTCAACACGCGCAGAGTAGGAGAAGTTGTGTCAGAGAGCGACAGAGGAACTGCATGGCTGCAGCTTAAATGCTCCCCTCTTCTTCAGGTGGACCAATCAGCAGGTTGAAGGTAGCTAATCAGCTAACGGGCGACCACCTTCTTGCTCACTCACACACACACTCAGACACAGGAGGAGGGAAAATATCTACCTCTATGCGCGCGACGTTCAAGCACATGACGTGCACATAAGGGATGGGACGGGTCGAGGGGACGTAGACGTTGGCTGGACCAATACGTTTAAACCTTTCTTGATTGTTACCCACGTCCCGGTTACTCACGGCGCAACGTCGCCACTTCATCGGGTAGGTAAATTTCTCTGAGCAGGTTAGTTGCCTCCCCCCCACCCGGAAATATTCCCGGTCGTCAAGTATGACTAGACCTCAATCAACCCCCACGCCCGCAAGTCATAGACGGGTGCAGGCATGTAATCCTTATTTGGTAAAGTAAGCTATGTCAAAGAAGACACTAAATGACTAAATAAATAACGTTGTCGTAACGGTTCGTCAAGATAAATGGGAATTAGTTATAGATGTACGACGCTCGAACGCCTCATGTACGACCCGCCATTTACACCGAAATTCCCCGGCCAAACTGTTTATATGGGTGGGGAGTCACGGTTCACCACTGACCAATGAACACAGTCACAACGGTACTCGCTCACCACCGACACGTGCAAGGTTCCTACTTCGTACTGCCCCGGACTAGACATACTACTGCTGTCCCACTCCTCTGCCGAATACTACTAAGTGATAATCGTCTCGACTGCCAAATTCCGTAAGGAGATGTTAAAATTATAATTATCCAAGTGGAATTTAGCAGTGTACCAGGTTTCAACCCACGTAATTCTGGAAGTTAAGTCCCAAAGTAACCTCACTTTTGTAACAAAAACTGAGGGTTAGTATTGTAAAAACTGTAGGGTATATGGTATCCCTATCCCAGGTGGATATAACATAAATAAATATAACATAAAGTTGGTAAAGCAAGACGCATCCATTAAAATTTTTTTTCCAGAAAAATCTATACGGGTGTTTTTGGAGAGAAGTGTACTAACTGGGAGAACTTGAACAGTCGACCTGGCTACAAGAAGAGACTAAGAAACATATAGTAAGTTACGGTCGGAAACCCCCAAATCAATCCGGAAAGAGTTCTAAAAGAAGACGGTCATAAACAGAACCGGTTGGACCCAGCCATAAATGTCGCCTTCCTACGTGTTGGGTATTGAGTTTAGTCCTAATGTAATAAATACATTGTCGAACAAACATTACATTGGTTCTGGTGATCCCCGCTGTCACCGTGGACAAAAATGCCCAAACCCCCGAGGTACAACCGAAAACACCGTCCACATCAATTTCTAAACTATTATCCCTGACCTAACTTTCAACTGTTCTTAATAACTCTGGAATTCCTTACAAAAGTAAATATTACATTATTCTTTGCCGCGAGATTGACACATGAATTTGATAAGAATAATACTTTACACGATATTCATTGATATTACGGGTGTTGTTTAGTTAGTCAATAATAAACCCGACATAGTGCACAATTTTACCAATTAATCGACGAATTACCACGCCAACATCATGGTTCATAAAACCAGAAATGAACTATACGTAGATTATAATCGCGGATGCAACTGGCGATTTCTGCGCTTGTGACAAGAGAAATATCTCAGTGTCGCGACCTACGTGAGAACGGTAAAGCAGAGATTGGTCGCGCACCGAACAGTGAGTTGTTGGGCACCTCGAAAGTCTGTGATTTTAGGTTGAGTGAAATGACTCATCGCCATCCAACGCAATTACAACAAATTACGACTTTTATACGTGAAATCTAACGATGCCAAACTCCCTTTACACACATGCAAGGGGATGGTTTACATAACACGTCTGAGGTTCCCCTCGAACGGTTGCAATCACGTAAGCGATTGTTACATCAGATATGACTCCCGATCGTTGGCCACATGGGACTTCGAGTACCATCACCGGTCGCTGTGAAACAAGTAAATCTTGTCGCAATCTCCCGAATCAAGTGTAAGACGATAACGTATATAGAAATTTTAATTGTGTACGGTATTATAATATTACGCCACGTAAACACATAGATGCCGGTCTCCTTGTGAACAACTCGACGCCACTAAAAGAGAAACAAAGTTTACAACGGTTACAACGCACGTCCGACGAGGATCGATCGTCGATTACGATCTATGGACGCAATTGACACACAGAAGATGCTCTATGTCCATTACAATGCGTAAGCCGCCTTTACATTTTGACAACAAAAAAAATGAAAAATTGACCGAGTGCTGAAGGTTTTACAGTAGCACGAATCATTCTTGTAGAGGGAACCAAATTACATAGGCCACATGACGAAAGTAAATGACATAAGGTTACTGGTTCCCGTTACGAACTCCATGAGGAAAGGAGAGACGAGTTTTCTGAAGCCGACTATTAGTGGAAACAGTAAAGGTGATCTCGCGGCCAACTAACAGAAAAGGGAGTAGAAGGACAGGAGAGACTGTCACTCACTACCGAATGTACGGATGGTTTGGGTCAGGATTACTATAAGAAGTCCTGGTAACACAGTAATAACAGTTTAAGTCGAGACATGTGCTGATTAGGGTTTGTAATAAGAACGGATAAATTGTGTAACGTAAGACCAGTATAGAAGAATCCTAAGGAGTCTCTTTTTCGACACAACGACCCGAACTCCTTTAACGAAAGCGACTAGAAGGAATACCAGTGTACCCTACTCTACTGTCCCAGGTTCTCCTCCGAGAGTTGGCGTCTCATGAAGGTGTCGTTCCTTTTTCCCGGACGCAACACGCCGTTAGAGTCCCACGGACCCCAAATTGTACAATAAATAAATATTTTATTTCTCTTACTTACCATTTACAAAATAGATTCATATAGAAAATAGATTGAGGAGGACGTAAACGCGAAGGAGATCCTACTGAAGCACGTCACCCCTTCGCCTCAGACTTCTCCCTCTAGAGCTCTACACCACTCTTCTTTCTCCTACTTAGCAGAATCCACCTCCATAGGTTCTATCACTACTACTCCTCTACTACTCTCCTCTTCTTCTTTTCTTCTTCTACCCTCTACCTCTCTCGCGTTCTACCATGAACGAAATAAGTTACAAATGTCTAATAGTACGAGTGAAAAAAAACGAGTTGACTTACAAAGACGAAAAATCCAAATATGCGGGTTATTTTTATGAAATTCACATCGGATGAGACTAAAGTTGAAGATGGTGTTCCAACATTGAAGTCGCATTGAAATCAAACAAGACGATCTCAATTTCTCCTTTTTACACGGAGACAGCTATACGTGATGTGTGTACAACCGCACTTTCTTCATGGTTCAATAAACGAGGCCTGAAAAGAAACTACGACGGCGTAGTTACTTATTTCATAACATTTAACGTAAGGTAAATAAAGATGGATGAAACTAGTCTACTCCTTCTTCTCCCTCTGCGATTCCGACTCCTACCCGAGAATCCAACCTTGAGACGACTAGACGGCTGTACCGAGCCTACTTCTGCGTCCTATTACAGGGTAACGGAATTGGAGGAAGCGTCGGTGACGGACAGCGTTGTGGTCTCTTGACGCTCGGATGAAGACGGAGACTTACGTAGGAACCGTACCCCGGTCCATTCAAATACTTGGGTTCCTCTTTTGTGAAACAATATTCGTGCAATATAAAAAAGAAGGCTCATGTATGAAACGTAAATGCTTCGTATGTAGAACCTCCTTTCAATTACCAAGTAAGACTGTAAAAACAAAAGACGGAAAAATCTTACGTTTGAGCACAGGACACCTGGCATAACGGAAGTTGTCGTATATGAATTCCCTTTACAATACCTCCTTTCATTTCTTTTACCGATTCACGGAAGTAGAAGACAACGTATTGAAAAAGTTGTACGCAATGCTGGGACTCAGCAATAC